AATATTAAAAAAGTTTGGCGGCGGCATGCCAGTATACCGTGGTGGCTTCTTTCTCTGATTCATAATACATATAACCACAAATTTACAATATTTGCAGCAATTAAAAATATATTGGTTTGCAATTTAAAACCATTACCGATTAAACAATAACATTAGAGGTAAGAATAACATAGAGGTTGTATATTTCCAATTCGATTTTGGTTGTATATACATCTTTAAGGACAATTAAAAATATGTGGGTACATATTTTGCACATCTCGGCAAGAATGATATTGAAATGCAAATGTATGCCTCAAAATCAGCGTTAAACAAAAGAGGTGTGTGAATAGCAAAAATTCAGCAGTAGCGATCGTTTTTATTGTATTTGCCTATACAATTTTTGGCGTAAATTCTCTGTGAGGCGATACGGAAAAGTCCAGGTGGCTTCTTTGTGACTGTCCTAAGTCGACAACAGCGCTTGCAAAAATAGAACGAAGAGAAATCTATGTATAAGTACATCGTGTATCAGTTTCGTTTAAAGTGGTGTTGAGTGTTTTATGCCTTATGCAGGCGAATGTACATGTCGTGGGGCCTGTGAATCTACTCTAAAAATATTTTATATCCGCAGATGTACGGTGTGGACAAGAGAAATCTACGTGGAACAGGTCAAGTTTAGGAACTCGACTCGGATCATTTTGAAATTTTTACCGTACGTACTTCTCGTTGTGCTGATTACAGTGTTATACATTTCATGTGGGGGAAATTTATACTCTCCAAAATATGGGTCTTGAAAATTCGGAGTAGGGTAAGTGCATCAGTCGTCGGCACTTTAAGAATTTACGTATTTTAAATGATTCGCTACTCCGGGTGCATTTCCACTACTATATTGTGTTAAGGTTAATTTGATTCGAAATGTTGTGTACTCCCCGATGGCATAAACAAATTTTGAATTATTTTATATTGACGTTGAGCAAATTTACAATTAGGTAAAATAGTGAGTTATTGCCAATATTCGACGCTAGTTTTCAATTGTCGACATGTCATACTCCAATAGTCAGCATATCGTATTGTAATTGATGAAAATTGTATATTAGACTGTTTTATTTATTATTTTCTTTAATAAATGGTTATTGAAATGCTTTTCTTTCTTTATTGTGGCAAAAAAGATAAAATTAATTGATTTATTTTATGAAAATGTAAAATTATGAATTTTGCTGCCGACTTTAAGAAACAGTTATCCAATACACGACATGGCTAACACACTCACTTTATAGGTTAAAAATGTTTGAGATTAAAACCATGCTTATTATTGTATTAACCCGGTAAAAGGTTCTAATGTATATGCCGTTTTAGAGTACTTATTTAAAATGTTTACCAATTTTGGGAAAGAATGATCGAAAATGTGCTTATTTTTCACCCATAGGGCAACATCCATAAAAATATCATAATTGCAAATATTTCTTTATAATTTTAATTTTTAAAGTTTTCCTCTGAATGTTCCTAACAAGCATAAAAAACTCCGGGAGAAAAATATATAAAGAAAGAAAAGCATTTCAATAACCATTTATTAAAGAAAATAATAAATAAAACAGTCTAATATACAATTTTCATCAATTACAATACGATATGCTGACTATTGGAGTATGACATGTGCGTCGAATATTGGCAATAACTCACTATTTTACCTAATTGTAAATTTGCTCAACGTCAATATAGAATAGTGCTTAAAAACTAGATGAATAATATATCATTATAATGTATATACTACATAAAAGCGAACCAGCTGCTGGTTCCGCAGAAGGGGAAGGCCACGAATACGATGGAAAGATCAAGTGGAAGACAACATTGCCGAAATGGTCTTTCAAATTGGAAAGACCGATGCGCCTGGAAATCTTTTCTAAGCTCGGCTTGTGGAACGAGAGTTCTGTCACAAGCCAGCTAAGTAAGTAATGTATACAATATTAAATTTGGATTGCATAGCCAAATATGCGCCAGTCCATAGATGAAGAACGGGTGCCCGACCGAAAACCGGCTACTTAAAAAAAACCTTCATTTGATTCTGAAATTGTATTTAAAAAGGATTTGGATTGTGTAGCCATGTATGAGCCTGTCCATAGGTTCTGAAATGTATATGCCGTTTTAGAGTACTTATTTAAAATGTTTACCAATTTTGGGAAAGAATGATCGAAAATGTGCTTATTTTTCACCCATAGGGCAACATCCATAAAAATATCATAATTGCAAATATTTCTTTATAATTTTAATTTTTAAAGTTTTCCTCTGAATGTTCCTAACAAGCATAAAAAACTCCGGGAGAAAAATATATAATATTTTCTTTTTTTTTTTATTTTTTCTTAAGAATAATGAATTGTCGCAAGTGGTGAAAGAACCAAGTTGAGAAAATCCGACGTCATAGGTGAGGATGGCATATACATAAGAACTTTTTACCGGGTTAACATACTATATGAGGATTTATTTGACATATATGCATAGGAATTGGCAATTTAAACCCACTGCGTTAACGAAATCCGGTTAAATGTAAACGTACTATAATAAATAAACTTAGCTTGATGAAATTTTACACTGAGATAGATGACAATATTATTGAAGATTATATTTAGTGGAACAATATTTGTATTTATTTGAAGTTATATACAACTGATGCCGAGTATTGGTACATGCCGAAATTAAAAGCGCTTACCCTATATTTTGTTTAAAACAATCCCAATCTTTTTTAAGAGTAATTTCAGAACCTATGGACAGGCTCATACATGGCTACACAATCCAAATCCTTTTTAAATACAATTTCAGAATCAAATGAAGGTTTTTTTTAAGTAGCCGGTTTTCGGTCGGGCACCCGTTCTTCATCTATGGACTGGCGCATATTTGGCTATGAAATCCAAATTTAATATTGTATACATTACTTACTTAGCTGGCTTGTGACAGAACTCTCGATCCACAAGCCGAGCTTAGAAAAGATTTCCAGGCGCATCGGTCTTTCCAATTTGAAAGACCATTTCGGCAATGTTGTCTTCCACTTGATCTTTCCATCGTATTCGTGGCCTTCCCCTTCTGCGGAACCAGCAGCTGGTTCGCTTTTATGTATTATATACATTATAATGATATATTATTCATCTAGTTTTTAAGCACTATTCCCATATTACATTGGTGGTAAAATTCTTTCTTTCATGGCTCATGGCTAGGAAAGTGTTTTTTTTTTCATATATATATATATATATATCCAACTTAAACGGCATTTACATTAGAACTTTTTCCCCGGTTAACCTACTTTGTGAGGATTTATTTGAAATATATTCAAAGGAATTGACAATTTAAACCCACTGGGTTAACGTAATCCGGTGCAATGTAAACGTACTATTACGGTAAGAATTTCAAAGCGATCCGAGTTGTGCCCATAAACTTAAGCCTTTTTAATTAAAACTTTGGAATTTCAAAGCGATCCGAATGGAGCCCTTAAAATTAAGGGGTTTTAATTTATATTTGGAATCTGAGATGGAATTTATATTAAGATATATACTGTATAGCTATAAGATACGTTATATAATGTGAAGTACACTTTTGTAGTTTTGGCATGTTGCGATATTTATTGGCCAGATGGCTTTTTCGTGGCAATAAAATAAAAAAATAAATAAATATATTCTGCACTTATAGTTATCGTGAACGATCCTGCTAGATCATTTTGCAAGATCGTTGACCTTATTTTTTTAATATTATTCTTCAATATAATACGTCCTGTCATTTAATCCTAAAGGGCTAAGCAGAATGCTCGCGTTGAGTCATCCGTCGTGTTATATGTTATCGAAAATACAACAACCACAAGGAAAAGATATGCGTTTGTGTTATCGTTTCCTTGTGGTTGTTGTATTTTCGATAACATATAACGGGACAGATGGCTCAACGCGAGCATTCCGCTTAGCCCTTAATAAGGTAAATCGTCCTTCTCGAGATTAACATATATTTACCATGCTCTTTTTCTTTTCCAGTAAAACGGCATATACATAAGAACTTTTTATCGGGTTAACCTACTTTATGAGGATTTTTTTGACATATATGCAAAGGAATTGACAATTGAAACCCACTGGGTTAACGAAATCCGGTTAAATGTAAACGTACTATAAAGTAGAATATGTTTGAGAAATCCAAAAAACATAATATTCGAAATATATACTTCCCTAATAAGATTTGATTATTTCTAATAACATCTTCAATACAATTATCAGCATAGATGCAATTTTTGTTGATTAATTTTCTACAACTCAAATGGTTTCATAGATATCCTGGTATGTTCGTAAGATGGTTGCAACAGAAAATTTTCAAAAAATAATTGAAAGTAACTCTACTGAGTTCTTAGAAGTGAGAGGTATAAAAAGTGACAAGGGGGAAGAAATTCAAAAGAGAATAGTAGAGAGCAGCAGCAGAGTTGTTTAAGAAAGTTGAATGTATAAACCCAGACTAACGAAGTGGATGGATATACTTTTGTATATTCTATCGAAAGAAATGCTTAAACTTAGTACAACTCATTAAATGAAATTCTGAATGTATATCCATATTTTATCTAAATCTATACATAGTACATTATATGCACTATAATGATTAAGTCCACAGCGTAGAATTATTTTTATATCTGTGATAAAAGCAGAGAAATATTGATTTTTTGATCTCATATATAAATTATTTCTATCTACCTTATCTAGAAACAATATATGTATATATTTTTTGTTTTGAAGATGTTGTCTAGATCCTTTTTTTAAAGTAGTGTCATATATCTACGATTTCACACAAGATCCTCTTCTTGGTATAGCATACAAAGCAATTCATCTTGCTGAAACTTTGAAAATAAATACTAAATACAAAATATAACTATATCACGAATACCAGATAAACTTCTAGAAAATTTATGGAATTGTACTAGACAATACGTTACTTAATATTGCAGAGAATTACATTACCCTCTAGTGAAGTAAATCAGGGCACTAACGTGATTCAACGTATTTAAAGAGGACAACAATCAACCAACATGACGTGGGAACCGAGTGCAGATGGATTGCAGCAAATCATAACCATCCTAAAGGAATCACAATCTCCTAATACTGCGACGCAAATGGCAGTTCACATGGTAAGTACATGAAATTTTTGATTAATCTGAAAGTTTGGAAGAAATTGAATGCCTTGAAAAAAATATCAACATAAAATTAACTGTTTCTTGAGGAAGTGTTAGTTCCCAATTAAAATATGAACCAAAAACGTTTAAATTTTAGCAAGATAAAGAGAAAATCGAGCTTTCGCTAGCTCATTCATTCTACATGTCTAGATTACAAATATAAATTTTATCTTAAAACTTACAGAAATTGGAGGAATTGAACCAGTACCCAGATTTCAACAATTATTTGATTTATGTCTTAACCAAATTAAAAACCGAAGATGAACCCACCCGGTCATTAAGTGGATTAATACTGAAGAACAATATTAGAACCCACGGCAACAACTTACGCCCGGAAATAGTGGAATATATAAAGCATGAATGTTTGCAGGCAATAGGAGATCCATCGCCGTTGATAAGAGCAACTGTGGGAATTTTAATAACAACCATAGCCAGCAATGGTGGTTTGCATAATTGGCCCCAGCTGCTGCCTTCATTATGTGATATGTTAGATTCGCAAGACTACAATGTTTGCGAGGGCGCATTTAGTGCGCTCCAAAAGATTTGTGAAGATCATGCAGAAGTGTTGGATTCCGCCGCTCTTAATAGACCATTGAATGTCATGATACCCAAATTTTTGCAGTACTTCAGTCACAATAGTCCCAAAATACGATCACACGCAATAGCATGTATTAACCAATTCATTATGATCCGCTCTCAAGCTCTGATGTTGCATATTGACACTTTTATTGAGAGCCTATTCAACTTGTCGTCTGATGATGATCATGAGGTACGAAAAAACGTTTGCCATGGTCTTGTTATGTTACTTGAAGTACGGATGGATCGTTTACTACCTCATATGCCCCAGATAATAGAATACATGTTGATGAGAACACAAGATTCTGATGAAGGCGTAGCGCTAGAAGCCTCAGAGTTTTGGCTCTCTTTGGCAGAACAAAGCATATGTAAAGAAGTTTTGACACCTTATCTTTCCCAGCTGGCACCTATTTTAGTAAAAGGTATGCGTTATTCCGAGATCGACATAATTCTACTCAAAGGCAATGTTGAAGAGGACGATATGGTACCCGATCGCGAAGAAGACATACGACCAAGGTTCCACAAATCTAGAACACATACAATTAAATCCAATGAAGCAGGTGCTGGCGCAGACGATGATGACGATGATTTTGATGATGGTCTAGACGATGACAGCTCTTTATCGGAATGGAACCTGAGGAAATGTAGTGCAGCAGCACTGGATGTGCTAGCCAACGTCTTTCGCGAAGATTGTCTACCTATTGTTCTTCCTATTTTGAAGGACACACTATTTCATCAAGATTGGGTAATAAAAGAGAGTGGAGTACTAGCATTAGGTGCTATTGCTGAGGGTTGTATGCAAGGCATGATTCCCCATTTACCCGAATTAATTCCTTATTTAATTAGCTGTCTGTCCGATAAAAAAGCACTTGTTCGTTCCATTACTTGTTGGACGCTATCACGATATGCTAATTGGGTCGTCAACCAGCCACACGACCAATATTTAAAGCCTCTGATGGAAGAGCTTTTAAAACGTATTTTGGATTCAAATAAGCGTGTACAAGAAGCAGCTTGCTCAGCTTTCGCTACACTTGAGGAGGAGGCTTGTACGGAGCTTGTCCCTTATTTGGAATACATTTTACAAACATTGGTATTCGCATTCTCAAAATATCAACATAAAAATCTATTAATTCTATATGACGCTGTTGGTACCTTGGCCGATTCAGTAGGACATCACTTGAACAAACCACAGTACATCGATATATTGATGCCTCCTTTAATAGAAAAGTGGAATCTTCTAAAAGATGACGACAAAGATCTTTTCCCCTTATTGGAATGTCTGTCGAGTATAGCCACTGCTTTACAATCTGGTTTCCTGCCATATTGTGACCCGGTCTACAGACGATGCATATCATTAATTGAGCAAACTATTAACCAAGACATGGTAAGTCCACATATTCATTGCTATAGGGCAACTATAACCTATATATATATATATATTTGTAGGCTTGTAAGCAAAATCCAGGAATTGATCACCCTGATAAAGAGCGTATGATTGTCGCATTGGATTTGCTATCCGGACTAGCTGAGGGATTAGACGGGCATATAGAATCTTTGGTGGCTAATAGTACCATTATGCAGTTGCTATACCAGTGCATGCAAGACGCCCTTCCGGAAGTAAATATTTGAAACAAAATATTTCACATTGCTAAATGTATTTAAATACATTCTGATTATTTTCAGGTTCGGCAATCGTCATTTGCATTGCTAGGCGATTTAACTAAAGCATGCTTCCAACATGTTCATCCATTTATGTCTGAATTCTTTCCCATTTTGGGTCAAAATCTAAATCCTGACTACATTTCCGTATGCAACAACGCGACATGGGCTATTGGTGAAATTTGCATGAAGCTAGGTAAGTGCCACCGCCTTGTTTTAAAAGCGGTTTAATAAATTTCACTCATGACTAGGCGAGGAAACAAGACAGTTTATACATCTGGTTCTAAAGGAATTAATTGTAATCATCAATCGACCAAACACGCCCAAAACCCTTTTGGAAAATACAGGTAAGTGGAAAGAAGCAGTAAAATATATTTTAAACCACGATTACAATACACTTAGAGTAGACAATTGACATAAGAATACTTTCAAATAAAACTAATACTAGCTTTTTCTAAACAAACTCCATATGTGTGTTGCTCACTTTTTAATCAATAAAAATTTCTGGAAGAGTATACGGCAATTGCATGAAATTACAACATTATTTTTATTTTCCACCATATCTTCTGGGTGTTTCAAATTGACATGGACATAATTGTATTCGATAATTACAACACTTGCAACGACCACCGCATTTAAATTGATTTTTTTTTTTTTTTTTTTGCAATACCCAATTACTTAAGTTCTCAATTTTTGTTGAATAAACTTAAAATACTTTATCATATTAAACGCAAGAAAACTAAATTTTACCATAATTTATAGACATGTGTATAACCACATATCCTTACAAACAAATTTATTTTATTTGTACAGGATTACATATGTGTGAATTACTGTGGTCGTTATTATTATTATAATTATTTATCCTCTGTCCACCCCACCATTGTGTTCATTTCGAGAAGATTGTCAGTATGTGTGTTCCTCACTTTTTAATCAATAAAAATTTCTGGAAGAGTATACGGCAATTGCATTAAATTACAACATTATTTTTATTTTCCACCATATATTCAGGGTGTTTCAAATTGACATGGACATAATTGTATTCGATAATTACAACACTTGCAACGACCACAACATTTAATTTTTTTTTTTTTTTTTTTTGCAATACCCAATTACCTAAGTTCTCCATTTTCGTTGCATAAACTTAAAATACTTTACCATACTAAACGCAAGAAAACTAAATTTTACCATAATTTATATTTGTACAGGATTACATATGTGTGAATTACTGCGGTCGTTGTTATAATTATTATTGTTATTATAATTATTTATCCTCCGTCCACTCAACCATTGTGTTCATTTCGAGAAGATTGTCAGTATTCGATAACATCATGATTCAATTGCTGTCTTAAAATTTAAGTACTTTTGCTGCTTTGTACTTCATGTGCATTGCCTGAGCAAGGAAATAGTGAAAGCAACAAATGTCAAATTAAAACAACGGCCAAAAAATACGTCCATTTTATATTTATGCTTACTAGATACTCTTTTTCTTATTTTTTATTTATTATAAATTTAATTTTTGTTTTGTTCTTTTATAGCTATAACTATTGGTCGTCTAGGTTATGTGTGTCCAGTTGAAGTCGCTCCTTATTTGCCAGAATTTGTAAGACAGTGGTGTGTAAATCATTTGATTTCAGTATTATTTGGTATAAAGTGCGATTAATAGTTTGAGTTTATTGTTGAAAATGTTTATATTTGTTTCAAATTGTTCACCTAATTTGTAAAATATGTTTTTGTTATTTCGATGTAGGTGTACCTCCTTGCGCCATATTAGGGACAACGATGAAAAAGATTCAGCTTTTCGTGGTATGTGTCATATGATAACCGTTAATCCAGCTGGCGTGGTACCGGATTTTATATTCTTCTGTGATGCTATTGCTTCGTGGGTAAACCCACCACAGGATTTACATCAAATGATACAAAAGGTAGGTGATGAAATTTATTTTTTTTATGCAGTTCTAATTCGGCTAATTTCTACAGATTCTGCATGGTTTTAAAACTCAAGTTGGCGAAGAAAACTGGCGTCGTTTCGTAGACCAATTCCCACCAACATTGTCAGAAAGATTGGTTGCGATGTACAGCATATAAATTGGGAACATATGATTGGCTTGATATGTGGTTCATAGCAAAGTAGGGGCGAAACGTAAGGGAAATATGTTTATTGCAGTAGTCGATGCTTACTGATTTTCTTCATTCGGCGGATTATTTTCTTTTGTCTAAAACTGGGATTAAGCGATAGATTCGTAAACAAAACATAAATTATCAATTACGATAAATAATAGCTACGTCTGTTGGAACGAAAGGAAATCAGATTAATGTAAACATTCAAACATCAATCACAATTCTATGAAGATAACAAAATACATAAACGTTTTTGAAATTAATGTTTCCTTTAACCATATATAAACAGTCGAAATCGTTTATAACGACGGTCAAGGGTGAAATTGGTCGTTATACGCGATAGTTGTTATAAACGATTTCGGTTGTATGTTAAATTCGGAAAAACCGAGAAATTTTCAAAGAGAATCTCGCAATACAACATGAACGAAATTTAATTTGGAACGAAATATATGCATATTTTGTATATTTAATGTTAATACGATAGGTTAGACTAACGTAAGCATTCAATAAACGTATTCGTCTTGTCTTCATTGAATGATTCACAAATGTAGTTAAGTAATACAGATATGCAGACACAATCTAATCATAATTATTTTGCCGTTCTTAGTAATTAAATATTACAATCTCCTCCATTTGTATTCGACATTTTCAGCAAGTTTACGCATAACGAAAAACAGTGTAAGTGTCGGCTACTGACTGCTACACGTATCGTATATTTTTATATAAAAACGTTTCTATTAATTAGTTCATGGACTTTAAATGTGGTTAAAGAAGCATTAATGATCAAGAAAAAAAATTATAATAGACAGTTTAATGAAATTTCGCGTGTATGCAGTTACTATATATATTGTTTTGTTTTTATAATTTGCTTAGAAAAGGTAACATTTGTTTCGTTCGTACTTAATTTAATAAAATCGCTTACTTTTTGAAATCTTAGCTTTCTTGTGGTAAAGAAAGAAAGTCGTAAATTGATAATTAAATTTGTCGCATCGCGTAAATACTATTTTTATTAAATTATTATAAGGAAAACTGTGTGACGACGAATTGAGTTCAAATATGATCAAAACATCGACTTTACCAGTCTTTGGAATTCATATTTTTACTCATTCCACCATCACAAATACTTTCTTGCGTTTCGGGTTTTATCGGTATCGCGTTCGCGTTTATAATCGTCGTTCGTTCGTTCGTTTGTCAATCAAATACTTCTCTCGTCAGTCGGTCGTGTTTAAATTATTGTTAGGGTTCGCGTTAAAGATCAAACGTCTAATTAAACTCATCTCTCTCAATTATGATCTTTAAAATCAATAGTATTATATTTATTTTGTAATTCTCACAGATTCTTAAAAATTTTGTTTTTCCTATTTTGGTATTTAGTAATATAGATAAGAACATGTTTTTTTTCACAAATAAAGATAACATATTCGGATCTATTATTCTCTATGAAATCCCATTAAGTACTACTTGTCATATTATGGTACATTTATTTTTATTTTTCAACAAAAAAAGGAAAGAAAAGACTTATTTTTACAATTAATATCAAACATACACACATACATCGTAAAACACACCATGTGCGTGTAAATAAAAATTAAATTAAATAATAGTAATAATATAAATATTTTGTGTTTTAACAAATAATTGAATATGGGGATTATGTGATTTGTCAATACGTGTGATATAAATTAAAATTTCGGTTTCGCGTCGGGTATCAATTGATAACATGGTCCTCCGCCCCGGGTCCAAATATAAAAAGTAATACAACTCAATCGTCGCGTAGTTTGTATATAAAATAAAATATATAGTATAGTAACTAAAACGGTCGTGATTTCGTATGTACCTAAACCAAATTCACCGCGGAATTTGGTCGCGTTCGCGTTTTTCTCGGGTGATTATTTAAATCTATAAGCTAAGATAATAATAGAAAAGTAATATACAACTATTTTCATACAGACTTGTATAAATAATATTAACTCGCAAAAAGTATCATTTATTAAATCATTTCTTACTTTTTTGTTTTTAGTATTGAGTTGAATATTTTAAGTTTTCCTATAAAAAATCTGCATACACCTTTAATTATAAAAATGCTACATAAACATATACCATAAAAACGACTAATTTTGTCTTAGTAGGTACTGTAAACCACTTGAAGTTTATAGCATCATAATATTTTATCAAATAAACATATTAAAACGGTTCATAATACGTTGAGTTTTTTGTATAAAATTTACTCGGTGTTTTTCTCTGTAAGTATGTTCTGTATAATAAATGGCCGTATAATTAATTCTTCCACATTATTTAGTAGCAATTTCCTACTGACAAAGTGAAAAAAAGTTTGCATGCGGACTAAATGGACATAGTTCCTATCAAGATAACCTTGCACACTAAACTCATTCGCTCGTATGGAGAAATATTCTACGATAAAATCGTAAATTACTCAGAGAAAGAATTTATAAACCATAGTAATGTTAAATATCCAGGACTCATAATTGATCTTCGAAAAGTGAAGAAAACATAAAAAAAGTTCCCGATATTGAAAGTAGAAATAATCATGTTATGGAACGATGAAATTAGGTAAACATATTTTTAGCGACAATTTTTATAAAAAAAACTTATTTTATTATATTTACCGAGGAAGACAAGCTTACCAAATGTCAAAACAGTCTTTTTATTTTTCACGATTTAATTGCTGCAGTGCATCATCTGTATCTTGAATATTTGTTTATAATTTTTAAGATAACTTAAATTTGAAATAGTGGTGGAAGTGTCTGCGCCACAAGTCGACATCCAGTAAATTAGGTAAGGTACAAAGAGCCGCCCAGATTTTAGTTACAGGAGCGTTGTGTCCTCTGCTAAGCCGAGACATTTATTTTTAAGGATAAGGTAGGCGCTGAATAAGTGCATGATAAGTTATCACGTAAGATAGGTTTAAGCCGTTTAACCTGTTATAGATGTAAGATTTTAATTAATAAAATGGCCGTAGGCTAAAATCGTAAATCGTTAGTTACAGGAGCCAGGCGCACTCCTCGCCACAAGCAGCGCACTCCTCGCCACAAGCAGCTCCGAACGCAATGCTGAATTTTAGGCCCCTGGGCCTCAGCATTAAGTGTCAGGCCGCGCGTAGCGCCCTAAGGCTGCATGAACAAAACCTCTGGCGAAGTTGTACCTTTGGGCATGTTCGTATCTTGAACGAGCCAGGTATGACATTGGACCAACGCGTAAAACAAAGCGTCTATATATCACCAGTCCTGAGATTTGACGGTGTAGATGTCGTTATTCCTAGTAGAGACGACTGGAACCGAAGTAACCCTCCTCTGGTATGCAGTCTGGATGCAGAGGTTGAACCGGTGACTATCTTCGTGGATAGTCAAGGGGCTCTTAAAGCCATAAAATCTTGTTATATGAAATCTGAGGCCATCCTCAAGTATAGAACAGCTTTGGAAGAACTTACAGCTATCGGCTGTGTTGGATACCAGGATACTGTGACATCTTGGGTAATGAAAAAGCAGACGAACTAGCTAGACGAGGATCTCTATCCACAGATCTAGCAATTGATGACTCAATTAAACCACCCATATGTCATATTTACCGGAACTTTGACGAAAGACCCTATGAACTTTGGCACAACGAACCTAGGTGCAACGTGTCAAGATCCATTTGGCCAAAAGAACGCACTCACTGTTGAACCTGAGCAAAGCTGAAATAGTAAATGGGATCTTGATGCAATTGATTACTGTAGACTCTGCGTTGACAAGGAGGAGACGGAGACAATTGAGCATCTTCTGTGTCACTGCCCAGCCCTGGCTTACAGGCGGCACAGACTAGTGGGTGCTCATTTTCCACCGAGTCTTACCTTCTTCTCAACAACCGAACTTGCTCTTATCTACAGCATAATTAGAAACCTAAAGTGGTTGAGAAAGTGCAACCTTGACACGTAATATATCTTCTGTCTGATCGCTATAACCATCGACATTATTCCAATCTTACATTCATATATCTTTCTGTAAGCTTCTCATCTCTCTTTATTTCACCAATCTTCTCTCTCATATAGATCTGTCCTTATCTCTTTTCTTCTCGTGGATGATCACAACGGACCTAACGGTCTCAGAGTGCTGCAGTGAATGCACATCCCCAAACCTAACCAGCTAATTAATTTATGAGTCGATTACTGATGGCAACCAAAGTTTAGTTGTGTTACCAGTTGCCAAATTTGCATTATGGATGGCAGCTGTTGTCAACTTCAGTTGCTTCAAATAGCATTTTTCGGCAACCATTTATTTCTGGTTGCTGTTTAAAATAACTGAACTTCGTAGGCTTCCCATAATGGTTAATATTACTACAAAAGAACAATTTGAGATCCTTATTGCCCGGATGGAAGCTCTCCCAAATGTAGCACGCGGCGTGCGGACTTTTGGTCAAACCAAAGTCACTATCGATGATGTGTGGAAGGCCATTTCAGAAGACCTTAACTGCTATGGCCCACCAACACGCACTCCAAATGAATGACAGAAAGTGGCGAACATCTTCTTTTGGGTCCATGATATGTACTTGTGTACCATCACTACATCCGACAACACCGTGGAACTTAGTTATGGAATAAAAAATTTTATTCTTCCCTTTATCATCCTCCGTTAATTTGGATACAATCAAAAGTTTACACAGTTTTTCCTCTATTAGCCGGGTAACTTCGGCGAAAACCGCCGACATTGTCGGTTGAGCCATGCCAAGGTTGAAGTCATTGCTATGGGACTTTTGAAAACTTCTCTCCACAAAATACATCAGAGCTGCACACATTTTTAATAAAAAGAGGAATTGCTGTTGACCGCCAGGCTTTTCGGAAATCAGGGTTTAAGGCTTCATCTATGTACACAACGGCATCTTTTGGTAGTCGAAAATACGCCTTCAAGCTAATATGAGCAGTGGATTGAAAATTTCTCTAAACGTCAGCATCTACTCACAGAACTTATGGTAGTTCTAATAGATTTATCTCTTAAATGCCTTCTAATAAATGACACTCCTTGAACATAATTTTCATCATCAAAAAATAGTTCCACTGAGCTTATCATCACATATA